CTGATTCTTGCGGCCAAAGAGAAGTCTCCGATGTTGGGCTCTATGCTTGTAGAGGTGGCCAGGTCAACCTGGGTCAGGGGCTGGCTCCGGACCCGTCGCAGCATCTCGAGGCCTATGGGGGAAATGCCCAGGGCTGGTGAAGCAGGGTCTGCATGAAGCCCCAGGCCAGGTCTAACTCCCACAGGAACACCACAGGAGAGGGTGCCCAGTCCGTCCTACGTGACCCATTTACACCTCCCCAATATGGTCTCCTCCACAAACAAGTACATGCCACAAGAAATGGGCCCTTCCCCTCCCAGACTCTGGGGAGCACTTAGACTCCCAGGCACCAGCTCCTCAAGAATTCAACATGGGGCTGGCTGCACTGACTCAGGCCTATAATCCTAGCACTCTAGGAAGCTAGATGGATGGATTGCTTAAGCTCAGGAGTTAGACACCAGCCTGAGCAAAAGCAAAACCCCCATCTCTACTAAAAGAGACAAACTAACTGGGCTGGGCGAGGAGGCTTATGCCTATAATCCTAGCACTCTGGGAGGCTGAGGCTGGTGGATTGCCTGAGCTCACAGGTTCAAGACCAACTCAAGCCAGAGTGAGACCCCACCTCTAAAAACAGCTGGGAGCTATGGTAGGCATCTGTATTCTCAGCTACTCAGGAGACTGAGGCATGAAAATCTCTTGAGCCTGAGAGTTTGGAGGTTACTGTGAGCCATGACACCACCCCACTCTCCTACCCAGGGGTACAGAGTTAGACTCTGTCTCTGAAAAAAACTAAAGGATTCAAGGTGCCATGCAACTCTGTCAGGGTTCCCTACACTAACCCTCAACCACAGTTCAGCTGACGGTACCTACCTCGGGCCCGAAGATAGGAGTCCGGGCTCCCCACACAGCTGATCATATGCAACAGCCACTGCCTTGCCTTGGGTGGTCCCACCACAGTGACACGAGTCTGGCCTGTGGCTGTAAACCACCTCTCCAGCTGAATGAGGGTGTAACTGTGCACCTCGATGCGGCGAAGGTATGAGTCATCGTGTCCTGTGAGCATAAGAGGTGAGATGA